CAGCCCAACCCGGCGTACGAGAAGTGGGTTGCGGAAGATTAGATCGTGCTTAGCTACCTGTTCTCCTCCCTCACGAAGGAGATTTTTGGTCAAGTCGCCACTGCATCCACCGCCAAGGAGTTGTGGGCTGCCATCCAGGAGCTGCACGCCTCTCAGTCAAGGGCACGTATTATGTCTACGCATATGGCCCTAGCCACGGCGACCAAGGGCGTGTCGTCGGTGGCTGAATTTTTTGTCAAGATGACAGGACTTGCCGATGATATGGCCTCGGCAGGTCGCAAGCTTGAAGACGAAGAGCTCATCACCTTCATCATCACCGTCCTCAGCGAGGAGTTCGAATCTATCGTCTTTGCTGTGGCCTCTCGTGTCGAGCCAATCTCCGTCAACGAGCTGTATGCGCAGCTCATAGCTTTTGAGCAGCGCAAGGAGATCCATGGTGGCAGCTCCCAATCCTCTGCTAACGTGGCCACCAAGGGTGGCCGTGGGGGTGGCTCTGGCGCCTCCAACCAGCAGCAGCGTGGCCGCAATGATGGTGGCCGCGGCGGCTTCCGTCGTGGTGGTGGTGGTGGTCGTGGCAATGGCGGCCGCAACAACAGCAACAGCAATGGTGGCGGTGGTGGCTGCAACTTCCTTGCTGGCGTCTTCTGTCAACTCTATGGGAAAGAAGGGCACACGATGGTTCGCTGCTTCAAGCGCTTCGACACGAACTTCACCGGGCCCCCGCAGAAGAGTGCTTCCTCAGCAAACACGGCTCCTTATGGGGTCGACACCAACTGGTATGTTGATTCTGGTGCCATGGATCACATAACCGGTGACTTGGAGAAGCTTTCGTTCCGCGACAAGTATCGTGGAGGGGAACAAGGGCTTTCAACGAATGGGGCAGGTATGACAATTAATCACGTTGGTCATAGTGTTTTGCAATCCCCAGTTCGTAACATTCATCTAAACAATGTTCTTCATGTTCCTAGCGCCACAAAAAATCTTGTTTCAGCACATCGTCTAGTCAAAGATAACAATGCCTTTCTTGAGCTTCATCCAAAATATTTTTCTCTTAAGGAACAGGTGACGAGGAAGACACTCCTCGAAGGGGAATGTGAGGGTGGTCTCTATCCATTGAAGCCTCATCATCCACAAAACCAGCCTTCATCAAATAAACAAGTCCTTGGAGTTGCTAAGGCGTCCATCTCCTTATGGCATAGTCGTCTAGGTCATGCTTCGTTGTCTGTCGTCAAGAGTGTTCTTAGTCGTCATAAGTTATCTTTTTCTAGTGAGTCAAACAATAGTGGTGTGATTTGCGATGCTTGTCAAATGGCCAAGAGCCATCAGTTACCTTATCCAAAGTCCAATAGTGTTTCCTCTAAACCTTTTGAGCTTGTGTTTACTGATGTATGGGGACCTGCACCAACTTCGGTGGGTCGGCATTCTTATTATATCAGTTTTATCGATGATTTTAGCAAGTTCACCTGGATCTATTTGCTGCGTTTTAAGTCTGAGGTTTTCCAATGCTTTCGTGATTTCCAGAACATGGTTGAGCGCCAGTTTAGCCATAAGATCCTTGCAGTCCAGTCGGACTGGGGAGGAGAATATCAATCTCTTAATGCCTAAGCGCTTAGGCATTGCTCACCATGTTTCCTGCCCTCATGCTCACCAGCAAAATGGATCTGCAGAACGCAAGCATCGCCATATTGTAGAAGTTGGCCTCTCACTTCTTGCTCATGCGTCCATGCCACTCAAGTATTGGGATCAAGCCTTTTTAACTGCAGTATTTATCATCAATCGTCTTCCCTCAAAAACTATTCACAACAACACCCCACACGATCTACTCCTTGGATCTTCACTGGACTATTCCTTCTTTAGGACATTTGGGTGTGCTGTTTGGCCTAATCTCCGGCCATACAACACCAAGAAACTCCAGTTCCGGTCAAAACGTTGTGTCTTCCTCGGATATAGCAATCTTCACAAAAGTTTCAAATGTCTTGAGCCATCTACCGGTCGTATCTATGTTTCACGTGATGTGGTTTTTGACGAGACCATCTATCCTTTCTCTGAGCTTCATTCCAATGTTGGAGCACGTCTCCGTGCCGAACTTGACCTTTTGCCGGATATTCTTAAGAATCCAGATCCATCACTTGAATTTGGGAGTGCAAATATGCATGATCACCATCTGATTAATTGTCTTACTAATGCTGTTTCTAGTGTCCCTAGTGCTGTGGCTGATGCAGGGCAAAATTTGGAGCAATTTGGTGAAGAAACGACACGTCCCGGGCATTATTTCATGCAGCCGTTCGGCGTACCGTTTCACGACAACGCTGGTGCGGCACACGAAGATGATACGTCCGTACCTCGTACGGGACTAGCGGCGCAATCCTCTTCGGGATTGGAGACAGCATCGCTTGGTTCTGCTCTGGAATCCGGCTCGGAGTCTCCGCCATTCGATCCGGACGCTCCGACTGACGTGTCGGGCTTGTTCCCGGCTGCAAGCCCGGGATCCTCTACATCGACTCCAGCTACATCTGGCTCTCCGCCGCCTTCGCCAGGTGCTGCAGTGGCTCCCGTGCTCCCCTCGCTGCCGATTCAGGAGCAGGCTGGCGTTCAGGATCCCGTCGCTGGTTCCGGTGCGCCTGCAGATCCTGTGGTGCTTCCTGCGCCCCCGTCAACACATCATCATGGCACTCGACTTCAAAGAGGAATTACAAAGCCCAAGTAGTACACGGATGGCACGGTCCGTTGGGGGCTAACTAGCACTGTTGAACTTGACGAATCGACAACTGTGAAGGCCGCTCTTCGTGATGATCGTTGGGTCACGGCCATGGACAACGAATATGACGCCTTGATGAAAAACCGAACTTGGCATTTGGTTCCTGCTCCCAAGCACAAAAATGTCATCGGTTGCAAATGGGTCTACAAGATAAAGCGTAAGGCTGATGATTCTGTGGATCGCTATAAGGCACGACTTGTTGCTAAGGGATATAAACAGCAGAATGGTATTGATTATGAGGATACCTTCAGTCCGGTAGTGAAGGCGGCCACAGTTCATCTTGTTTTGGCAGTTGCAGTCTCAAAAGGGTGGTCGTTGCGGCAGCTTGATGTTCAGAATGATTTTCTTCATGGTGTGTTGGAAGAAGAGGTTTATATGCATCAGCCTCCGGGATATGAAGATAAACGGTGTCCTAATTTTGTCTGCAAATTGGATAAGGCCTTGTATGGCCTTAAGCAGGCCCCTCGGGCTTGGTATGCACGTCTCTGTGGCAAACTCATTCAGCTGGGATTCACACCATAAAAGGGGGACACATCACTATTCTTCTATCGGAATGGACATGCCACTATCTTTGTCTTAGTCTATGTTGACGACATCATTGTTGCCAGCTCATCCTTGGCTGCTTCAAAGGCGTTGGTCACTGCTCTTGAGACCGACTTTGCTCTAAAGGATCTCGGTGATCTTCATTTTTTCCTTGGCATTGAAGTAAAACGTGTTTCTGATGGTCTGGTGTTGACACAACAGCGTTTTGCTACGGATGTGGTCAAGCGTGCCAATATGTGGAACTGTAAACCGGTTGATACTCCCATCTCTGTCACCGAGAAGCTCCACCTTGCTGCTGGAGATCGTCTTGGTGACGATGATTGCACCAATTATAGAAGTGTGGTTGGGGCACTTCAATATTTAACTCTCACCCGGCCTGATATTTCCTTTGCCGTTAATAAGGTGTGTCAATTTCTTCATTCTCCAACCACGACACACTGGAGTGCTGTTAAAAGAATTTTGCGGTATGTAAAAGGCACTCTGTCTACAGGATTGCAAATGAGGAAGTCAAACTCTACTCTTGTCAGTGCCTTCTCTGATGCTGATTGGGCAGGATGTGTTGATGATAGGCGGTCCACGGGAGGATTTGCAGTATTCTTTGGACCTAATCTTGTTTCTTGGAGTGCTCGAAAACAGCCTACGGTGTCTCGCTCTAGCACTGAGGCCGAGTACAAAGCATTGGCTAATGCGACAGCTGAAATGATGTGGATACAAAGGCTACTGACTGAGCTTGGAGTTCCTCATTCTCCTGTTGCTCGGTTATGGTGTGATAATGTTGGTGCAAAATATTTGTCGGCAAATCCAGTTTTTCATGCCAGGACGAAACATATTGAGATCGATTTTCACTTTGTTCGTGAAAGGGTGGCACAGAAGTTACTGGATATCAGATTTGTCAGCACAGGTGATCAAGTGGCAGACGGTTTTACTAAACCTATCTCGGCATCCAAATTGAGAGAGTTTAAGTTCAATCTCAACCTTGCCAATGGCTGAGATTGCGGGAGGACGTTAGAATATGCTATATTTAGGAGTTGGTATATTTAGGAATAGTTGATCACGTGGATCCTATCCCGTGGCTATTCCATGTTTCTAGTTGGAGTTGGTTACCATGACAACTCCCTGTTGTAATTGTGTTGTACTCTTGTACTCCTGTATAATGAAACACCGAGGACCCTTATGAGGTATCTCTTCCTACATATCTTTTACACATCTCTGATCTCGTTTCGCTGTTTGCGTACGTCCATGAAAGGAACAATACGCACCTAATTACGCCAGAAGACATACATTTAAGGAACACCCATCATGTAGGTAGAGTATGGTTCAAGACATGATATATACTTCCTAGCTACCTTGTCCATCATGTACATCTGGACACATTATTGGCTTTTGTATTGTGCCGTTTAATGAAAATTTGGACCAGCAATCAAATATTTTGAGATGGCTTTGTTTCATCTGCGGAATCAATACAATGAAGCAAACAGTACGTAGTTTGTTACATACAAAGTGTCTATGTTCAAATGCATCATCATACGTGTTCTACTGAATTTTCAACTAATGTAACGGCCACCTCTTTGTGAATAACTAAAGATGTTTACGTGTAATAATGCCATCAGAGATTTTAAGACTAGTATCTCTCTCACAGAGTACCGCACCGCAGTGGTCGATCGAGTCGAGTTCTCAGATCCGCGTTCAATGGCATCCATCACGCCTCCAAGGAGAAGGACCTGTCGTCCTCGTCGCGGATGGAATTGATCATGCTGGCGACCTCCCGCATTGTCGGCGGCGGGGCAGAGCCGGGGGAGGCGTCGACGCACCGCATCGCGACCTGCAGCAGCCGCACCATGCGCTGCTCGGTGGACCCGACGCCGCTGCCGGCGAGCAGCGCGCGGTCGAACACCTCGGCAGTCCACTCCTCCCGGATCACCGAGGTCACCCACCGCGCCAGCTCCGCGCCGTCGCCCTGCGCGGACGTCGCCTTCCCCGTCAGCAGCTCCAGCAGCAGCACGCCGAATGCGTACACGTCGGCGCGGAACGCCGCGGCGCTGTCTCTCCCGGCCGAGGGCGGCGCGGTGATGCCGTACTCGCTGATGCACGGGTCCATGCCGGCCGTGAAGAGGACGTTGGAGGCCTTGAGGTTGCCGTGCGCGATTGGGGCGTCGGCTGCGGCCTTCTCACCTGACGAGGAATTGGAGCTCGCGCCGCCGCCGCGCAGGGTGGTGTGCATGAACACCATGCCGTCAGCGACCTTGGCGGCGATGTGGAGGCGCGCCGGCCAATCCAGGGGGCCCTGGCTGTTCTCTATGGAGCCTGCACATTTGCATTTTTGTGAGACTCTGAAACTACTGAAACTTGAAAACTACTGTACACACGTCAAAGTGAAAGAAAACAGATAATGATACCCTGAATGTGATTGGAGTTTCATGCAGAGAAAATACTAGTTATTTTAAATATATGAAGTTTAACAAAAATCTGCCATGAACTTCATATTATTCAACACATTCAAACTACCGAATTTGCATATTCATTTCTAGTGTTAGGGCCAGTTTGATACACACATGACTAGTTACTACCTGGAACTAAAATTAGCCTAAATTTGCTATGGTTGGCTAGCTAGTTGGCTAACAATCAGTTAAAGATTTTGCTAAACAATTAGCCTACCTATTAGCTTTACATTTTCAATGCATTAGAGCTAATTTTTTGCTAGTTAGCAATTAGCTCATGTATCAAACTTGCCCTTATTCAGTGCTTAACTTTTGCTAGTTTACCTATTTTACCACTATTGTCCCCACTAATATTCATGTCAAACTAAGCTCCGTACTATGTGAATATTCATGTCAAGCAGAGACATTATCATAGTAGTGCTCCGTACTATGTGACAACTGACAAGTCTATATTTACTAGTAGAACTTTTACAGGTTCGTTAGCCATACTGCCATAGGTCAACCGTAGGCAAATAGTACTGAAAATGGGTTGGGTATTGCAAAGTGAAATGGACTAAGCTAAGGTTATGGGCTCCAACAATTTCAGCTCAGAAAGGATGGATGCACGAATCGTCGGCTGAATACGGCCCAAACTAGAATTTGAGAAGGCATGGACACTTTTACCGGAAAGAGTTGACTGGGTTAATGGATTCGCTACGGCTGATTTGTAGGACTGAAAAAACACTATTCCATATTTTAAAAAGTATGATTAACTCTAACTTATAAGCTCAATCAAATGAAGCTCAAGCGAACAGAGCCCAACAAGGTTACCATGCAGGAGCTTGGTGAGGCTGCCGTTGCTCTGGAACTCGTACACCACCAGCTTCTCCTGCATGGCGCAATAGAACGCCAGCGGCGGCAGCACGGCCGGGTGCTTGGCGAGCCCGACCCGCTCCATCCGCCGGCGGAACTCCTCCTCGTCCACCGCCGCGTCCTTCACGCGCTTCACCGCTAGCGCCGCGCCGCCCGGCACGACGACCTTGTACGAGCTCCCGAACCGGCCCCGGCCCAGCAGCTCGGCGGGGGACTTGAGCAGGTCCTCGAACCGCAGCTCCTTGGCCGCCGCCGCCGCGGCGTTGGACGTGATCGAGGCCGTGCCCGACCGGCGCAGCACCACCAGAGAGGCCGCCGGCGCGCCACCCGCGTCGGCGGCCGCGCTGTGCTCGACCGACGTCGGCAGCGAGTAGGCCGGCGTCTTGCTCGGGGTCGTGGCCGTCGTCGTGGTCGTGGCCGTCGTCAGCCTGCTGCTGTCGTACACGCCCCTCCTGCCTCCGCCGGACTTGGACTTCAGCCCCAGTTTGCTCCGCTTCTTCTTGAAGCAGATCCTGTATAGGACGAAGGCCAGTATGGCGGCACCCAGGAGGACGTACCCGAGGTACATGACGATCTTACGCGCCGTTCTTTTCTTGTTGTCCTTGCCATTGTCATTGTCATCGCCCTTGCCGTCGTCGGCCTCGGAGCCCGAGCTCGGCGCCGGAGGGGGCGGCGGGCAAGGAGCGAATAAGGTCCCGCCGCATATGCCAGCGGCATTAGGCCAGAACCTCTCTTGGCCGAATCTGGTAGCGTTCTTGGGGATTGATCCGGTGAGGTTGTTGTTGGACACGTCGAAGAAGCTTGGGCCTTGAATGTTGCTGAGGTTGAAGTCCGGGATCGTGCCGTTGAAATGGTTGTCGTTCGCCAGGAACCTCACCAGCCCAAGCTTGCTGAGGTCGCCGGGAAGTTCGCCGGAGAAGTTGTTTCTGGAGACTTCAATCACCTGTAAGCTCTTCAACTGGGCGACGGAAGGCGGCAGGTTACCTGAGAGCTGGTTGCCGCTGACGTTCAGGTGGGTGAGGCCCGAGCAGGCAGAGATGCCCTCGGGGAGGCCGCCGCGCAGGCTGTTGTTGTAAAGGTTCACCACGCGGACAGCCGGCGCGGCGCAGAGAAGCGCCGCGTCGATGGTGCCGTTCAGGCCCTGTACATCAAGGTCTATCCTCTTGATGTGGCCATTGTTTCCACCTGCGTCGAAGCACTGGACAGTTTTGCCCCACAGCGAGATTTTGTTGCCGGGAACACACGGGCTGATCGACGCGTTCCACCCCAGCCTGATCGCCGTCTGGCCGCCGTCGTCCCCGGCCAGCGCGGTCAAGAAGCTGACGAGCGACGCCGTGACATCAGGCGATTCGTCACCTCGCACCCGACAAGGGCAACATGCAAGCAGCACTACGAGTGCTGCTACAAGTGCAGTGAGAGCCTTCGCCATAAACACGGCTCAGCCTCAGGACGGAGCAGCAACAAGTGCCAAGAACTGATAAATAACCAGCGCCGGAGGAGGTGCTCAGGAGCAACGGCACGCGCTCCGTGCCTGATTGTCTAACGCCTACGAGCTGGACATGGCAAGCAAGGCTGAGATGCAAGGAGTTTGAAGCAACCGCGTGAGCGGGGTGTGAAAAGCTCGCGCCATAGCTGGCTCGTTGGAAGCGGACGACAGGGCGGAGGCTACGAAGCAGGGGAAGGGCCGGTCGGCCTTGTGGGCACGCGGCACAGCAGGGAGTCGGTCGCAGGGGACAGGAAGGTGCGGCCAAACGGCAGTGTTGGAGGGGCGCCAGGTGCCGGGCAGGCGCCTCCGTCCGCGTACGCCGGCCGGCAGCCCTGGGCGACGGCACAAACAGGCCCGGCACTCCGGTTAACGGGCATGTCGCCGTCGTCGTTGCTGAAAATATGTATCCCGATGTCGACAGGAATATTTCGGCTTGACGTAGCTGAACTCGACATATGTCTGAAGCTGTTGTTACTTGTGCTACTTATTAGTAGTTGGCTGGCACTGATGAGGCGAGCATGATCTGGTCAGGGGGTCGGGGTTTGCCATATTATCTTTGTATATCACTAGACAGTAGACTCAGATTTGGTACTGATCCAACAGTGACAGCGCCGTATCGCATACGCGCCGGCCGCCATGGTGCCGGCGCCTCAATGCACCAATGCGCCTTCACCTAGGGCCTATCCGTCCACTTCCCCATCCTTAATAAGCCAGGATCGCCGGAGAAAAGAAAAGAAAAATACACTCAAAATTGTTCACACACAGGTAGACTAAAGAAATTGAGTCTTTTACTTATAGACCATTATAAAAGATCTCAATTCCTTTCGTACCGTTAAAAAAGTTCCGAAGATTTTTGAAATACAGCTCCAAACCTTTTTCCTTCCATGCCGCTGCTATTGCTTTGCATCTCATTTTAACGGGGATTCAGCTCTGTCAAGTGGGTCCAAGGATCCATGGCACTGAAAATGTTTATGGTACCCTATCGTCGTTGGGCTTAACAAAACCAACACACCCTACTATCTTGTCTCTCACTCATTTCGTGTTGACTCATCTCCCATCCACTCGAGCTCTCTCTCTCTCTCTCTCTCTAAAACCCTAGCGGTGGCGGCAGTGGAAGGGAATAAACCAAACAAATCCCCCCTCTATTCGCTGCATGGGGTAAGAGGAGGACGGGTCTGAGATTTGGGGATGGATTGGACCGGGTGAGGAGGAGGAATCACGAACAATGGAGCGGGTGGGCCTTGGGACTAGCTCCCAAATGGGTGAATTGTTCTCCTATTCGATTGATTCTCATTTCGCATAGTGTTGCTATATAGCTCGTAATGCATTGATTCATTAGGATTGATATCGTTAGATGTATATAAACTCGTTGTTGTTCATATGTAGGATGGACCCGGAGACTAGCTACAACCAAGGTATCAGGATAATTGCTTCCAATTTGTGTGCGCGGTGGTTTTCCGTAAACAAAGTTGTCGATTTTGACATCACAAATTTCAAAGACTTTGTGGATGATATTCTAGAGAAGTATCCATGCAGTTATGGTAATGTGGTGAAGGTCTTCTACTTCTATGCTGATAGCAAGGCCAACATTGAAACCAGTTTGGACAAAGACTTAGTTTAGATGTTTAGAAAACATAAGGCTACCAAGTGTTGTTTGTTGCTTAATTTAGTCCTGCTAGTGAGCCACCTAGCATACCATCCTAGGACAGTAACACTTAACGATCAGGAAGTCCCATGCACACCCTCATTGGTGTTGATGGCCATTACACACCATTTTGACTATCAACATTGCACCAAAAGTGAATGTATGGGCAAAGAAAGTGCAACCTCCAAAGAAGGTAGATGAGCTCGCCAAGAAGCAATCAAATCCCAAGAAGAATGAATAAACATGGCGGAAGAAAGAAGAACCTTCATCTATATCTTCTTCTCCTAGACTCGAAAAAGCGTCCACCAAGGAACATGGTGGAGAAGTCCCACTCAAGGACTCAAAACTATGAGCCCCATCGAAGGTAAAATCAGTAAGTATCCAATGTTTACTTCCATGCATTGTCTTATCTTTTAAATTTTCTAATGTTTAATTACTAAAATCAACTTTGTTAATGCATATAGCTTTGAAAATAACATATAAAAATCAGTTTTCCCTCCAAATGCTAGAAAATAAGTAAAAAAATAAAATATATAGTGACCATGCTTTGCTGCTGGACATCCAAAATGGAGCGATTTGCTGGAGGACACTCTGGTTCTTGACAAATTTGCTGGTGGACACTTCGCCCAATAAAATGTTGATTTCTAGCTTTTGAGGAGAGAGAAGGATGGTAAAATGTCCTTCTCACCCCTGACCCTTTCTTCAACTTTGGTCTTTTCTTTCTCGTCGGCGGTAGATCGAGTTGGAGCAGGCGCTGCGGCCCTGCTCCCGCGCGGCTCCAGTTGGAGCAGGCACTGCCGCCCTGCTCTCCTCACACGCCGGCAGCCCTCCCCCACCCTGAGCTCCTAGTCCATCCCCCACCCCTGGATCCATGGAGGCAGCCAATCCCCCAACCCGAGCTCCCCACCCCTTTCTCGACCCGGCAGGGAGGCGGGCAGGCTAGGCGGCTGGACCAGCCCACCGTAGTGTACTAGCGCGGCCGGCAGTGGCCAGTCGGGAATGTCGCCTGCGTCGTGTTCTTCCTGCGTAGCCAAGTCGAAGGGTGGCTACGGCGCGGGTGTGCGACGAGGTTGGGCGCGGGCGGCGTCGCGGCACAACGGGTGGAGGAGGGTGACGATAGGGAGGCGCTGGACCGCGATGTCGCGCTGGCGCCGGACGCCGTCCTCAACCTCAGGCCGTGCATGCCCGCCCCGCCCATTCAACTCAAATCGCCGCACCGTGTCACGGCACGAGGGACGACGGGGCCACCGTGATCCACGGGTGGCAAGTGATGAGCTACTCCTCCGACGCCGTTGCACTCAGCTGACCGACGTGGCCCTGCGCAGTTGCACACGCATAGGTCGCCTCGGCTGGTGCTTCGCCAATCAGGAGCGCGGCGGCCAAAGGAAGGAGACCAAGGTAGAAGAAAGGGGTAGGGGCAAAAAGGACATTTTACCATCCTTCTCTCTCCTCAAAAGCCAGAAATTAATATTTTATTGGGCAGAGTGTCCACCAGCAAAGTTATCAAGAACTAGAGTGTCCTCTAGCAAATCGCTCCATTTTGGATGTCCAGCAGCAAAGCGTGGTCACTTTCAGTGTCCAGGAGCCAATTTTCCCTAATAATAAAGATAAATAACAATAATAAAAACAAGTAGCATAATAATAAAATGACCATAAGACAAAGAAGTAGAGCCACCTCATCTTGTGCCATGAACATGAGTAATCTCTGAAGAAGAAAACAACTCTTGCAAAATACAAGCTTGGGGGAACTTGTCCCCGTCGAGGTATGAATCATAAACAACTTTTACATTTTTTCAATTTGTTGTAAATTTCACTCTATCTTGGTCAAATTAAAATAGTCTTATGAATAAAAACTCCCAACCATAGGAATGACGTTCGATTTAACCTCTGTAATTGAAATGTTGAATAGTTGCTTTGTCGATACTTTGCAAATTCTTAGTCTATAACTCGATACTCTTCTTATGTTTTGAGGTTGTTGGTTTAAGATCTTGCTATGAACCAAAGCTTTTGGTATGCGAATGCTAGACCTGAGTTTAAGTTGTTGTGGGATATGACATAGCAAAGAATAGAGTATGCTCTTATCTTGTCCAAAGTGAAATAAAATAGCCAGAGTTTTTATTTCAAAAATACTTGCTAAAGTTCCTCAATGGTGAGAATCTCCTACTAGAGCCATACATGTTTCTACATAATATTAACTTTCTACAAAAGCTTCTTGTTTTGTTTTGAGCTTTATCTGGAAGTACACAGAAACATGCATGCCATCTTCTACCTCCAAATCACTCCATAAGCAATTTGATGCATCCATATGTAGCAACCACTCAAGTCAAAGAGGCATGGGATACAAAAGGAGATATGAAAAAAGAAAGAGAGAAGAGAAAGAAAGAAAAAAGAAGAAAGATAGCCATGCTCTCATACAATACAAAGGTGCTAGAGAGAGGAGAATCATAAAAGCAGTACCGCTTCTACCATATCTTCCACACACTTACACTTCTTGGTCTCGTTGTACGACTCATTGCTCCTTCGATGTAAGAGTTTTACTTAGCAATATATGCAATACAAGTGTGCCTTACATTCATTCTCTACCTATGAACTCCACATATGCTAATAGGATGTAAAGTCTAAAACTATGGACATGGTGATTTTTCATACACCACTGAGAGACTTTTGAGTACCATTCAAGCAACTTAAGCTTGACTTTTCAAAAACTCATGAAAGCTCTAGAAGATTTTATCAAACTAATAATGGGAGAATGAGCACTCTATCTAGTTGTTCTGTCTTTCAACTTCTCATAACAAGGTAAAAGTTATAAGCCCTATGATGACTAAGGTAATATGGGTGAGTTCCAATTACCAACTTATTCAAGTCAAGAGATAGAGTGTTGATTTGTATGCAAGTATTTGCGAGGCGTTGATATTGTAGCAACTCCTAATCCACTGTTTTAAGTTTTCGTCTTTGCTCAGGACAAGCAAAAAGGCAAGCTTGGGTGGGGGAGCTTGCTGATGGCCATTACACACAATTCTAACCATCAACATTGCACTAAAAGTGAAGGTATAGTCAACATCATAATGATGATCTTTGTTTCAAATAATGTGGTTCCACTTGTACTTGGAAAATTGTTTGAATGTAGGAATAAATGGACAAATTTCATAAAATTAAACACTAGGAGAAAGTGTGATGTGGCAGGGCCACCAGGGACCACCTAGTGGGGGTTGGCCGACCTTACAATGGGTCGCCCAACCTGGCCCCTCCGGGTGCCACGTCACTGATCCGTGCCAAAGCTGAGGAAACACACTTTGGA